ACGACGCTCAGGGCGCTGCTGGGGCCCCGTCAATCCCAGAAGACTCTGGTTGCGTAGACGGAGAAGGAAGGGCAGCCCGCTGGACGAGCAGGCGTCGGGGCTCTGGCCGCTCGCAGAGCCGCCAGTCGGGGCCCAACACCGCGAGCTGGGGGGCGGGGTGGGCAGAAGCCGCTGGCGCGGCTCAGCCGGAAGCGGCAGCACGTGGAAGGAGGGCGTGGGAGCCCACACCTGCCAATCCAGCCCCGAGCTCCTCGGCAGTCTTGTCTCTCTTCATTAAACATCCAAGGAACAGCGAGTTCACGGATGTGTTTTCTTCTCCGCCTCCTTGGAACACCCAGAACGGAGAAGCCGAGACCTGCCGCGAGGTCTCTGGGGAGCACCCGGCACTTGGGGAGCAGAGAGAGTTGCAGGGAAGAGGGAGGAAGGAGCCAGGTCCCCGCCTAGAGCAGGGCACAGACAGCAGCAAAGCCAGTGGCCGGGGCCTGTCTGGGACGGGGCAGGTGTGAGGGGGTGTGCAGACGTGTGCAGGTGCAGGGGCAGCGCACTGGCTCTGGAGGCCTGGAGCGCACACCAGGCACTTGCTTTGGGAAGACACCAAGCAGTAATTGTGTGAAGCGTGGACACGACCGGCCATCCCACTGTCCTTGGGGGTGGCAGACTGGCTGGGACCCCTGGGTTGTCCCTCCCGGGCTAGAGCAGGATTTGGGTGGCCACATTCCGGTTCAGGCAGCAGGGGCCTGTCCAGCCGCCCACCAGGCTGCATCAACGCCAGCGGACGCTCTGAGAGGCTGCCATGGCATTTAGGGTGGGCCGAAGACAAGGCAGCGCTCACGCCTGCGGGGCAACCAGGTGGAGGGTGGCGAGGCCCGGCTGTCCCGGAACCCAGGACCTCGAGGGGGGTGGCAGTGGAGGGCTCTGCCCCTGCATCCCAGGTGCCTGTGGAGGCCGGCTCACTTCCAGCAGTGCTCCAGGGAGCTGGGGGGCTGCATTGCGGGCAGAGCAGCTTGGTAAAGGCCCGGCGGAAGCCATAGTGGCACAGCGGGTAGAGGACAGGGTTGATGGCTGAGTTGGCCCACAGCAGCCAGAAGGACGTCTCGTACCAGTAGTCGGGGACGCAGGGGCCGTGGCAGGCAGCCCGGGTGATCATGAGGAGCGTGTACGGGGCCCAGCAGAGCCCAAAGGTGCTCACGATGACGGCCAGCGACTTGGCCACCTTCTTGTCCCGCGAGAGCCGGAAGCGCTGGGCGATGCTCTGGGACACCATCTCCGTGCGCTTCTCCAAGGACGCCGAGGACACGGACGGCTTGGAGCCCCGCTCGAGTGAGCGCGGCCGCTCGGCGCCCCTCGAGGAGCTGCCAGAGCTGGAGGTGGGCGAGGCCGCGGCGCCTGGGGCTGCCTCGCCGCCCCACACCCCGCGCCTGTGCAGCGGCACAGCCTCCCCACACCCCTTTTGCCAGCAATCCCAGCAG